ATACAGTTTTCAGTACAGTTTCATTAAGTTTTACTAAAATTGTGTTTACTAATAACACCTGATGATTACGAATGAAAAAACCCACAATGTTTATGAAATTCATTTAAAGTAAAGCACATTTTTAGATGATTATACCATAAACATTAAAAGATCACATTGTATATAGTTTTCAGTACATTTTCAGTAAGTTTTACTAACTTTGTGTTTACTAATAGCAACTGATGTTTATGAATGAAAACCCACAAAGTTTATTAATTTCATTTCAAGTAAAGTACAATTTTTCGATGATGAACATCAATTATTAAATTATAAACATTAAAAGATCAAATTTTTGTACAGTTTCATTAAGTTTTATTAAATTTGTGTTTACTAATAACAACCGATGAGTATGTATGAAAATACGCACAATGTTTACTAACTTCATTTGAAGTAAAGTACAATTTTTTCATGATGAACATCAATTATTATATTATAAACATTAAAAAATCAAATTTTTGTATAATTTTCAGTATAGTTTCATTAAGTTTTACTAATGTTGTGTTTGCTAAAAACATCTGATGTTTATGAATGAAAAACGCACGATGTTTATGAAATTCGTACATTTTTTTGATGATGAACGTCAATTCTTATAGTATAAACATCAAAAGATCACATTTTATATAGTTTTCAGTACAATTCCATTAAGATTTAATAAAGTTGTGCTTACTAATAACAACTGATGATTATGAATGAAAAAAAAACACAATGTTTTTTAAATTAATTTAAAGTAAAATACAATTTTCGATGATTATACTATAAACATCAAAAGATCGCATTTTATATAGTTTTTAGTACAGTTTCATTAAGTTTTATTAACGTTGTGTTTACTAATATCAACTGTTGTTTATGAATGAAAAGCGCATAAACAATTTAATATAATTTTAGTGATCGAAAATCGGTGTAAAATAAAACTTTATATATTGAAAACTATGGCAAATTGAAAATATTGTAATAAATTAATAATTTCCAATATTTCACAGTTCGTTTAACTCGACACTTGCTGTTAAATATTGATTTGGGTTGGGCTCAGATAACGAAATTGAATCTCCTTCCAGACGCGTTCATATACGTATATAATATTTTTTTTTGTTCATCGCTGAATGCATTTTATTTATCGAAATAATTGCGAGCCGATAATCCCACCAGTTGAACCGTCGCAATTACGTAAAATAACCGTCGACTTTCGCGCTCTCGCGCTCTTTTTTTCCCTCTCCTCGTCGCACCCATTGCGTTTCTTCCTATTGGAAACTTGTTTGCATTGGCAACCGGAAAACGTGCGTCCTCACCTCCGGTCCCAACCGTCAAAGGTGGTTAAGAGAAAACAGTTGTCGAGGAATTTCAGTTCCGAGGGGTGAGCAGCTGATCGCTGCCTCTGCTACTGTTCTCTCTCTTTTTCTTCGTCGCTCGCATTAAAAGCGCGATGACAAAAGACTCTCAGGGGTTGAAAACACGAAGGGTCCCATCATGTTCTACGCTTATGTAATTCACGTTATCAAGATTGTTTACACATGTGTTGATGCTGCTGCTTCTGCTTTGACTTTCTCTCACTCTTAACAACAAACAATTTATCCGAGTCGTCGTACTCCAGTTTCGATGTTCTCTTCACGTTCAATTAAGCCCTAATTAAGCGCCGAATCAAGAGACTTCTTTCATTTCGAGGCGCAGACACACCACTGCCTTGACCCAATAAATCCCGTTCACTCGCTCTCACCAAAGAGCACGAGAAGAATACGGAGTCAAAAAAAAAATAAAATAAAAGAGAAGAAGGAAACAACTTTCCTTTGATTCAATTACATTAATTTCCGGTAGATTTAAAGCCCTCGCAGACCGATAAATCGCTTTATCAATTCGGTTTAACTTTGCATTAACTAACCCGGCGACGATGATTTACTGCGTTCGATCTGCGCACCGTAAATCAACCCCCAGCAAATATTTAACAATCAATGATTCATTAATGGAAATAAGTTTTGAAAAGATTGTGTTTTTATAGACTGGGAATACGAGACGTTTCTGCATAAATGGAACGATGGGA